TTTGTTAAGCGAAATTTACGGTTAAATAAGTTATATAAAAAATCAATGTATTTTGATTGATGATTTTGTGTTCGATCAATTAATAGTTTCCATTGTAGAATTAGTTGTCATTGTCTTCGATCAAATATTGAGAGATTCTTCGTTTAAATATTAAGAATAATTTTCTATGACAAAAATTTCTTTGATTGACTTCCATGGAATCTCAATAATATTTTTTCATGGAATAAACTTTTTAATTTTTGACTTTGATTTATGAAAAATAAATATATAATTAATTAAAATGTATAATTAAAAAAATAAACTAGATTTAGAGTTTTTTATTTTCTTTTTACAAAAAACTATATTAAATATTAATAGTTAATTGAAGAATAAATTAAATATATATAAAATATTTTAATAAAATTATTAATAAAATATATTTATAACTCTAATCACAAGTCTATTGACTTACTAGAGCGGTCAAAATAAACGGGATAGTCCAGACTGATCTAACCCTACAAACTAAGTAAAAAAAACTTGATTGTTAAATTTGGTTTATATTTTAAAAAGTTAAAAATTTTAATCTAATATAAATTTATGTTAGACCAACGAGTTAATAGACCAATTTTTGTCTTATTGAAATCTTTCTAAAAATTAACATATTAATATCAAATCAATTAATTAAAAAATATTTAAATAAAAATTAAAAAAATTAAAATTTTATTAATGAAATTAATTTTTATTTAATATATAATAATAATTCAATATATAAATTATAAAAAATACTTCTATTCAATATCAAAATAAAAATTAAAAACATATTATTTATTATCATTATTTGTTTTTTAATAATTTATTAATTTAAAATAATAATTAAATTTAATAATTAAATATTAAAATAAGTAATTATTAAATATTTATTCTTAAAATAATATATATTTTAAATATAATAATATTACTTTTATTTTTTATTTAAAATATAATTATTATTTTATAAAATAAATCAATTTATAAACTTAACGATTATATAGATTATATATATAGATAGAATCAAAATATATTTAAATGTTATAAATTTATTGACATAATTTCGGATCAAATCATTATTTTAAGCCTATTTTAATACTCTATTTACCTGCTAGCCCTGTCCGATTTAGTCACATAATATATTTTTAAATTACTTGTTTTACCTATGTGAGGCCGTTAGAAAGTTTGGGCCATATGCAGCCCAGCCCAGCCCACAACGACCCACCCAATAAACCGATTCTTGACCCGCTAGATAATAATAAGGAGAGTCCACAGTCTTTGTAATTAGGGAATGGTTTTATTTGAGAAGAGAAAGATCCCCACCTTCGAGCTCCGTTAAGGTTTTCTCCCCAATTTAATTTTGCTGCTCCTTCCTCATTATTATCCTCGCTTCCTTTCTTTCCCCCCCAATTTTTTCTGTAGTGCCGCTACTCATACACTGTTTACTGACTCCATATTCTCCTTCTCTCGCTGATTTTCTTCTGCCAGATTCGATCCTGTTTCATTTGGTTCGCGCCGAAGAAAGAATTTGGTGAGCAAGAGATTATGTTTTTGTTTTTTCTTACGACCTCTCGATTTGAACAACAGAAGAACTATGAAAATTTACCATTAATTTTTTAAAATTGCATCGAGAAGTAGCGAAGTCTGTATCGTTTATTTATTATTTTATATATATATATATATATATATATATATATATATATATATATATATATATATAGTCAATAATCTGGTTTTTGTTATGGATTGTATTATTATTAAGAATACTGTGTGATTCAGCTCTCATTACTTGTAAAACATGGTTTGTGTGTTTTTTAGTTTTAATTAGTGTGGACTTTTACTCATTTTTCTTCATTGCAGGAGCAAGAATCTGGTTTGGTGTTTCTTTTGTTTCACTTTTCTTGAACACCTAGAATTTTGAAAGGTTTTAGGGTTTTGCAACATGCTAGGTTCATTACCTATATTGCCTCTCCCTGCCCCTCCTGCTGATGGAAATCTAGGTCCTCTACCCGAGTCTCAAGTGTCTGAGGAAAGGACTTCTAATGAGGAGCAGAACAAATCAAATTCGGCTTCTGTTCCAGTGCCAGCAACAGTTGCCACCCACACAAGAACCATTGGAATTATACATCCTCCTCCAGATATTAGGACCATTGTTGATAAAACCTCCCAGTTTGTTGCTAAAAATGGTCCAGAATTTGAAAAGAGGATTATTGCAAATAACACAGGCAATGTCAAGTTCAACTTCCTTAGCTCATCAGATCCCTATCACGCATATTATCAACATCGATTGGCTGAATTTCGTGCTCAGAATCAATCAGGGCAGCAAACTTCTTCCCAGCCTGCAGACTCGGCTGTTCCTGAGTCAGCCCCATCTGCCCCTGCCCCTGATAGTAATGGCATAGCAATAGTAGAAAAGCTCGATGCTTCTGCCCAGTTTAAACCTGTTAGGAAAGTACTTGACCCCCCTGAAGCAGAACAGTATACCGTTCGGCTTCCTGAAGGAATTACAGGTGAAGAGCTGGATATTATAAAGCTTACAGCACAATTTGTGGCTCGAAATGGGAAATCTTTTTTGACAGGGTTGACAAGTAGGGAAGTTAATAATCCCCAGTTCCACTTTTTGAAACCGACCCACAGCATGTTTACGTTTTTTACTTCCCTTGCGGATGCATACTCAAAGGTTTTGATGCCACCAAAGGGATTAACAGAGAAGCTGAAGAAGAGTGTTTCTGATATGACGACTGTCCTCGAAAGGTGTGTGAATAGGCTGGAATGGGAGCGTTCGCAAGAGCAAGCTAGGCAAAAGGCTGAGGATGAGATAGAACAGGAAAGAATTCAAATGGCTATGATTGATTGGCATGATTTTGTGGTGGTTGAAACAATAGATTTTGTTGATGAGGAGGATGAAGGATTACCTCCTCCAATGACTATTGAGGTGGTTATAAGGAGAAGCAAGGTGTCAACCACGGAAGAAGATACTGTTGAGCCTGTAAAAGAGGTTGAAATGGAAATGGATGAGGAAGAGGCCCAGCTTGTGGAAGAGGGTATGAGAGCTGCTAGTTTGGAAGACCCAGATGATGGGAAGCAAAATGAAGTCAGAGTTACTGAAGACCCTGAACCACCAATGAGAATTGTAAAGAACTGGAAGAGACCAGAAGAGAGGATTCCCGCAGAAAGAGATTCAGCCAAATTTGTTGTTTCTCCTATCACTGGTGAGCTGATTCCTGTTAGTGAAATGTCAGAACATATGCGAATTTCTCTCATTGATCCCAAGTACAAAGAACAAAAAGAAAGGATGTTCGCCAAAATTCGAGAGACAACTTTGGCTGCGGATGATGAAATTTCGAGAAACATAGTTGGACTTGCCCGGACTCGTCCTGATATATTTGGTACCACAGAAGAAGAGGTCTCCAATGCTGTCAAGGCAGAGATTGAGAAGATAAATGATGAGCAACCTAAGCAGGTTATATGGGATGGCCACACTGGTAGTATTGGGCGAACTGCAAACCAAGCCATGTCACAGAATATTGGAAACGAGGACCAAAATGATTCTTCTAATAATGAAGCCAAGAACCTTCTTGGTCCTGCTGCACCTCCCCCAAGACCTGGTATGCCTTCTGTTCGTCCTCTTCCACCACCACCTGGATTGGCTTTAAATCTTCCTCGTGGTCCTGTGCAATATTCTGGTCCTCATAGTGGTGCCCTTCCAATTCCACCACCCAGGCCACCAGTCATTCCAATGATGCCTTCTATTCGTCCTGCTGCTCCTCCTCCTATGCCGATGACTTCTGGACAGCAGTCAGTTATGGCTGGTCAACCACCCCCGATGCCTCCATCAATTCATATGAATAACCAAGGATTTCCAATACCTCCACCTCCAGGATCTCATTTCACCCATGTTCCAGTTCCTCGACCTTATGTTCCTCTTCCTGTTCCACCATCAGTTATGCCTATGATGCATCCACCACCTTTGCCTCAAGGAGTGCCACCACCACCACCACTGCCAGAAGAGGCTCCCCCCCCACTCCCAGAAGAACCAGAACTAAAGAGGCAGAAGCTTGATGATTCTGCTCTGATACCTGAAGATCAATTTCTGGCCCAACATCCTGTATGGATCAACCTAGTTAGCAATTATTATTTTGTTAAATGTTTATATAGCATTATATTTAGTGTCAGTGCTGTTTTTATATATCCTAACTTACATTCTGTTTTATTGACGATAGGGACCTGTTCGTATCAGTGTATCTGTGCCTAATGTTGATGAAGGAAATCTGAAAGGACAAGTTTTGGAATTTACAGTGCAATCTTTGTCTGAAACCGTTGGTAGTTTGAAGGAAAAAATTGCTGGGGAGATTCAGCTCCCTGCCAATAAGCAGAAATTGAGTGGAAAGCCAGGCTTTCTCAAGGATAATATGTCACTTGCCCATTACAATCTCGGTGGTGGTGAAACACTTACTCTCACCTTACGAGAGCGTGGTGGAAGAAAGAGATGAGCATGTCGCTTGCATCTCCAATCAAGAAGGTTGTTGTAATCTTTGCCTTATTGCAAGGCATATATATGGACTCTTATAGTATTGATAGATTACATGTTGTTTCTTGAATTTTATGTTAAATACATTAGATTTATTGTATTTTGAGACATCATGAAGTATTTACTGCTTGGAGACTAATGTTAATTCTGGAATACAGATTTTGGCACCTTGGCGCTTCTCTCTTGAGGGAATGGGGAAGTAGTGGAGTTCCTTTATCTAATCTGCTCTATTCAAATTATTTGCATCACTGATTATTGCTTTCTTGTGGATTTCAGTTTGTCTACTGCAAAGTTACTGATTTTTTTTTTTAATTGAGATGCGCCCTATGCCCTCAGGGAGGGATCATTTACATATTAACTTTTTTTTTTCAGTTTCAGTATTGCAATAATCCACGGGAAGTGATGATTTAGGGTTTTATTTTTCTTTTAATTTGTCTTTTCCTAGTGTTTAGGATTTTGTCATATGTTGGATATGTTCTCATACAAGGACACTGTTGGACAGTTGGTTAGAAAGGCGTTTGTTGCTGAGCTTATGTACGTTTAACCGGTGTATCTTGTTTGGGTTTTAGTCACGAGGTTGTTTTATTTTGTTGTCATTTAGGTCCTTAACCTAGATTATTTCTGGCTGTGGTGGTTGTTGGTTTTGATTTGGCTCTTTTGTCATAACAGAAATTCTACTTGGACTTATGGGAAGGGCTTTGAGCTTAGCCTGGTGTGTTTTTGAATGGAATGAGGCGCAGGTAGAATGGTCAACAATCTTTATGTTGTGATCTTTCACTTTTTTATTTTAAATTTTGTGCTGATGGCAGTTTGTGCCTGCCAATTTATTGCAGAATGGACCAGGTTTGGTATTTTAAAGAAGGCGCCGATTCTCGTGTTCATCTTTTTGGTATACGTTAGGAAACTTTCTGTTTAGGTTAACTTGCCACTGATCTTGATTAAGATAATTTGGTCATGTTAAACGATATTCTGCCATAATTGATTTGACAGAGCGCTTTTATTTAATTTGTGCCTTTGTTTCTTCCCCTCTTTTCACCCGCAGCCTCCATCCCACCCCACCACCACACACACGCTTTTGCCTACTTCGTCTGACATTGTTAGTATGCTTCATTAGAGCCCTTTGTTTGACTTTTGTTTGACAGAGTCATAAGTTGGAAACTGATTAGTTCGCAAGCTACCAGCGGTCATCATTTCTTTTTTGATCATTAGGTTACGTGGGTAATCAGGGCACATCAACATTGATGTATGAAGATATTGATGACTTATATTTCTATTTCAACTGTGGGAATTGTAGTCTCTCTTACAATAACCTTATTTTGCCACCTCTCCGGAGTCTTACCAGATCTCAACTAAGCCGCCAAAAATAAACGAGATTCAGTGGAAATTGTAGTTTGATAGCCAGAATAATGTTCCATTTGCTGTTATACATAAGATAACCATTGTTGATATAATTGGTAGACATTAATTTTAGATAATTGTTGCGTGTTGAAAAAAAAAACCCCTTTAAATATCAAAGAGTTGTCAGATTAGTTGTCCAAACATTGTCAACAAATAAGTTTAGAATTTGTAGCTCCTGCTATCCTTTATGGCAATATGTACTCGTTATAAAACCACCAGTTCCTCGTCCTTGTGTTGTTTGAACTGCTTAGTTTGCCACCCCATTGTCATTCATTTCTTCGTATTTATGATAAAAAGAAACTTGAACTCTAAACAAAATCGGTATAATGAGAAAGAAAATATTTTCGTTTATTATTTAGCATTCATATTTTAGTTTATATTATAATCATTTTATAATCTTTTTTTAAAATTGATGGGATTCCGTTGTTTTTATATTGGTAAATGTTATAAAAGTACGTTTTTGTTCTTATTAAAAAAAGTCAAATATTAAATCTCCAAATTAAAAATAGTTACATTTTGAAAAGACAACTTAACTTAAAATTAAATCTGCAACTTAAAAATTACCATAGTCTTCGAGCTATAACTCAAATCTAAAACGTAAAATCGAAATTTAAAAACCCAACCTACTATAAATATTTTTTAACTAGAAAGAATATAAGTAGGATAGATAAATAATTTATTTATAAAAAAGAAAAACTAAATTTATAGAAATATATATAAATAATTTGAAAGAAGCAAGCTGAATTAAAAAATACAAAAAATGAACGTGAAATTAAAATCTGTAAATATATATATATATATATATATATATATATATATATATATATATATATATATATATATATATATATATAATCTGTAAACAATTTTAAATTTTAAGCCATTGCATAACGAGTGAAGTTACAAATTACAAGATAATTGAATACAATCCCTCTCTAAATTTAATCATGTTTATGTTAGGATTTCTCTTACTGCTCTGTACTTTCATCATGAATCGTGCTTATTATTAATCCATTACTCCATTTCACTAAACCAATCTGAACTAAGTAATAGAATGGATATCTACTTTCCAAACCCACCCTAGCGCACTGCATCGTAATTATTCTAAACTTATATGTCAGTCAACAAATTTTGCATCATAAATCCAAATGTGCAAAAACTATCTAGGGTTTGTTTGTCCCTTTATTTTTGGGTACTCTTTGCTGCCTTTTTGTTGCCACGGTTCTAGAAAAAAAATTGTTTAAGATTTTTAAATTCGTGATATTTGTTAATTATCTCGTAAGATAGTTTGGATACGTGCTTAAGATTTTCTTATAACTTTTCATGATTTCCGTGACTTAAAAATTACGAATTTTACATATTGAGTAGTGAGTCAAATTTTATAACTCTGTAATTATAGTGTATTTTACAATCGATTTGTGATGTGAGTTTTGATCTTGGATATATAATGAATTAGTGAAATCGGTCTTATAATCGATATATAATATAATATTATACAACTTATTAATCTTAAGTCGAAGACATTAGGGCTAGAGAATGATAATATGGAATCATTCTCATGCCAATCATGATAACCTAACATTATTCAATCTCACTCCCTAATTATACACGATAATGTTAAAGTTTAGAATGCCTTTACTATATGCCAACTGGAATACTATTAACCATATTGATGGGAGGTGAGGAATTTCTAATTGATTAAGCGAGAAGATATAAAGGTGTCTTGTATGGACACACTTCACATACTTTTAAACTTTACAAGCTAGACATTTATTCTTTTCCTTTTTTGCAAATCGTCAACTCACACCTTTATATTAGAGATGAGTCATTTGTTGCATATTGGATCAAAGTCACATAAATGAAACAACTATGACCGAACAAGTTAATAATCACAAAATAACGCATATGATAGATCAGTAAAAAATCAAATAATGAAGACTTTACATTGGATCACAAATGAGATCAATTAAAATTACGATTTGGAATCATGAAAAGACCGGGATTATTTAAGATCATGATAAATCAGTTAAAAATTGAGTGATGAAAGTCAAATATTATACATACAAATTATCAAAAAAATCACAAATGGATAAAGTCAAATCACAAATTAATATCAAGAAAAAATCACAAATAGATTATAATAAATGAAAATTTTAGATAATATCACAAATTGAGATCATGAAAAGATTACAAATAAGATCATAGTAGATAAATTAAAAATTAAGTGATGAAAAATATATATAAGATAATAAGATCATGAATTAAGATAATGAAAATATCCCAAATATGAATAAATTATAATAAATAAGTCAAAAACCAACTAATAAAAATGATACATAAAATCACTAAATCACTCATGAAATCAATTAAAATTACAAATTGAGATCATTAAAAAAATCACAAAATAGGATCACATTATTAGAACAATAAAAATCACCTAAATGAATAATTTAAGATCAGGTAATAAATTAAATAATGTGTGAATCAAATTACTAATATTAATTCGTATTGAAGGAAGAATGTTAAAATGTTAAATATAATAATTTAGACGTAATGTTATATGTGACGTATGTTTTTTTTTAATATTATAATAAGATTACTGTGCAAGAAAATTTCGTAACGAAGTTTTCCTCATGCACAGTAAATTTTTGCTTACTTTTATATATGTGCATACAAAAACGGGGGAGGAGCATAATCTAAATTTTCCTCTCATCCTTCTTCTTCTTTGGTCAAAATTTCAAGCAACGATACTCTACTCCTGCAGGATCTGGTGAAACAGGAGAGAGTTTGAATTAAGTGGGAAAGCTTCGGTAGAAATATCATACAAGGTAAGGCGAAGTTTAATTCATTCAATATATGAAATTATATTGTTTGGTACTCTGTGAATATTGTGTGAATAAGGAATAGGAGTAAAGATATAAATTATTTGAATGTCTGATTTTGAAGAATTTCTGATTTTGGATACACTGTTCATGGTTTGAAAGTTTTTTAAATTCTTAAAATTAAGGATGAATTATATGGTAAAATTGTTGTTTCCAACTTAAATTATATATAATTCATGTTTAATTTGAATTTGGGACTAGTTTGGTTGTCTAAAATTGAGTAATTTGAAATCTGCCAAAATCTGCAAAATTTAATACTGTTACTGGTGCGAGGAAGAAGAAAGGGACATGGAAGAAATTTTTGAAAATGTTCAAGGGTAAAATAGTCATTTTACATCCTAGGGATATAAATGAAATTTTTTAAAATGTCCAAGGGCAAAATAGTCATTTTCGGGACATGGAAGGAATTTTCAAAAATGTCCAAGGGTAAAATAGTCATTTAGGGACATACATGGAATTTTCAAAAAAGATTAAGGGCAAAATAATAATTTAATGATTTCGAAAAAGATTTCGCAAATGATTTCAGAAATGATTAATGAATGTAGCAGTTTTAAAGATTTTGTAGTGTGTGTGTGAGTCAAACTGAGTCTAAGGGCTGATGCCCATAATCAGTCATGAGATGTTATATATTGGCTAGACTGAGCCAGAGGGTTGGTGTCCAGAATCAGTCAAGTACTATTATTTATTGACTTGAATGAGCCGTAAGGACAGGTGGTCTAGAATCCAACAAATGTGAATAATTTTTGTTGTGTTTGAATGGTACCCGGGTGATACAGAGTACTTTAGTGTAATAACTATGTTGGAGGATTCTGAATGAGGTCCCAGACTTCACTGATTGGTCGGGTCAGGTAGACTACGAGATCAGGTGGTGAGAAGTCGATGGGGGATGACTGGTGGCGCGCTCGGAAGGGTACTCCAGTATGAGTGATGAAGGCGCCAGTAATCCTACTCTGTGTGGAGGGTGGTCAGAATGGTAATGCGGGTGCCGATCACAATGTGCCCACAGATGATAGCCTCTGAGTTCGAGCATAGTTAAGGTATAATTCCGGAATGTGTCTTAGTGTGTTGATGATTTCGTAATTGATCATAATATATAATTATTACTTCTATACATGTTTTATTATATCGAATGATTTAATACTTACCTCTATTTTTCCATGTGGATGGAACTGCGATGATCACTTTTATATGGGAGTAGATCAGGAGTTGAGACGTGGAGATATGACTACTGGACAACAGGGATAGTTCAGTGAGATAGTTTCGAAGGAGCTACTTTTACATGTATAAATAAATTATGTTACTATATTTTGAGGTTCCGTTAGTGAACCGAAATTTCAATTTATGTTACAATTACAGTAATATAATGTAAGATAGATGTCGTTATTTACTTGTTTTTTATTTTGCGAAGGCATCGTTATAGTAGCGATTTCTAGGATCCTTACGTTATAAAGTAAAAATGAGAAACAAAATACAAAAATATAAAAAATTGAAAATAACGCAATTTTTAAATTCTTAAAATCAAAACCTAATATATATATATATATATATATATATATATATATATATAAAAAAAATATTTTTATATAATAGTTAAATAATATATATAATGTTATTTTTAAATAACAATTGGTCATATATAAAAGTATAATAATTAAATAAAATAAAAATAATTATTCTTTATAAATTTTGAAAATATCATATCATATATTTTCTATTAAAGAAAAAAAAATGAATTTAGAAAAATATGAAAGTAAGAATGATTTAAAAGAAAGATGCAAGGTTGTCAAAACATACACAATAACGTAGATAAACCTAATTATATAGGTTAGGTAAAAAAAACAATATGCAGTTCGAATTATATTTTTTAAAATTAATATATTTATATCAAATTAATTAATTAAAAATTTTAAATAAATAATAAATAAATCTTATTTTTAAATTTTAAATTATATTAATAAAATTAAATTTTATTTCAAAAATAATGATTTAATATATAAAATATAATAAAAATATTCATTTAAATAAAGAAATTAAAGTTAAAATTTTATTTTTCATTCTCATTATTTATTTTCTTTGATGATTTATTAATTTAAAATAATAATTTATTCAATTATCAAATCGTAAAAAAATTTCTTATATTATGATTCTAATAAAATAATATTCTATTTATTTTTGTTTAAAAATAATTATTATTTTATAAGATAAATTCACTCTAAATTTATGGTCAATAATGACTTAAATGGATAATGTAAAAATAAAGTAACAATTTTTCTTAGTTTAACTTATCTTTTAATCTACCCGAAAAAAATCTTTTTTGACTCAAATTGATTTGAGAAAAAAGTTTAGTTAGAACTTTTTATTTTATATATATAAGGTGAAGAAAAAGTGAGGTTCCATGCAAATTTTGCATTTCTTAAAACCTGACAATGGAGGTAGACACAACCGCCAGTGCTGATTCAGATACAGTAACAGTGCCCGTTCCTGCAAACTCACCGGACCCTTGAGCTTGACCATTTTTTTTGTAGTAGCTATTCTATTCACGACCTAGCTTGAATGGGCCCCAATGGTGTTGGGCTGGAAACAAGGCCCGTTTTGATGGAGAGGGTTACAGTCAACACCAGCTCCACAAGCATAGTCCAACATTTTCTGCAGAATCGCGTCGACTCCATCTTTGCAAACGCATCGAGTTGCACCAAGTTCCAAATGTGAAATTTGGATATCCAATTGGTCAGATTCCCTCGATCTTCGACTTCAACTCTCCCTCACTGCCTCACACGAATTCTTCACTCCCTTCTTCTTCCTCCTCTCCGTCGCGTGATATTCCTCGAACCCCCACGCCTTCTCAGTAGACCTTGTCGCCGACGCTCTTTTCCCCTGCTACACCTGGAACACGGCTGCGAAGGTCTTAGCGGCGGCCAAGATCTGTAACGGAATCCCGTAGTTGAGCAGCTGGAAGCATTCGATCCTGGTGAGGGAGTCGAAAACGACGCTGCGGAGGACGTCGTGGCGGTGGAAGCCGAGCGACACGAAGTCGACCTCTGGAGATTGAAATCGTTAACGTCAGTCTCCCGTTGGCATACCGGCGTACTCTGGTCTGATTCAGTTAGTTGTTTTGTTACTCTTAGCCTTTTCTTACATTCTATTCCCATTTGTTCCTTTCCTCATGAATTTGATCCCATCCTATTTCGATACTTTCGTTTATTTTAGTCCTAAATCAAAATGAATGTCTCCGTGATTTCGTTACTTTTTTTGTGTGTGCTGCACTAATTGGGATAATTCACGGTGTGTTTGATTTTGAAGTTATGCATATATGTCATTTATATGTTTTTATTTTTGTATTAACTAAAACCTGACGTTTTCCCCTAGTTTACTTTGATGATCTTGCATACATTTCATTAAGCTGAAATTTCCTCTACGCAGTCGGAATGGATATAATCTCTCAGTTACAAGATCAGGTTAATTTGATTGCACATTTGGCTTTTAATACCATTGGGACATTGCAAAGGGATGCCCCTCCTAATAGACTATCGCCAAATTATCCGGAACCACCTGCACATCCTACAGAGGAGGGGGCAAATTTTTCAGTACAACCAAAACTGATGAGTTCTACTTTGGTGAAGGCTGCTAAGCAGGTATGTAACATTTTAGTCAATAGTGGAAGGAAGGTTTGTATATGATACTGAGTTGTTTTATCTTTCCTCCACAAAGAGAGGATGCGATTTGTTACTAGAACTATGAATATTAGTCATGCCTGATGATACACAACACACAAGAACACCGAACCAGTAGACACTCGACAGATATATAATATTTATTATATTTGAAGGATAGTGTGTGAAAGTACATTAGTGGTAAATGTGAAAATATGTTTGGAAAGTCTCTAAGACGCCTCAAATATGGAAATGATATATTAATATATGAAAGAATACTGCTCAAATTGTAATGGGTTGTCAGTGCTTATGAGTTGGACTGGACATAGACATGTTTCCTCTGTTGGAGTGTTGTTTCATAGTGAGGTAACATTCACATTTTAGGAAACAAATGATTCATTCAACTTTTTATTTAGTGCAAATTTGGTTGCAGCTGAAAATGTACTTTTGCTCTTAAAAATCCCATTCTGCACTATAAAAAATGAATTCTTCTATCTTTATATTGTCAAAGATGAAGAATTTAAACTGCATTCGGTTGCTTTAGTCACTCCAATCCCAATCTAATATTGACATTCACAGAAAAGTACAATTTTGTTACTTTTGGCAGAACATCATTTTGAAAGTTCACTTTACAAGTTCTTATTTTACATTTTTATTCATCAAGACAACTTTTAACATTATTGACATTTTTCCTGATTTTTTAAATTATAATTTATCAATTTACACTTTAATTAACCTAACACTCAAAAGAGTAATTTTAAGAAATACTTTCTGATCAAAATTGTTTGATAAAATTATGAGATTTTTTGGTGTGGAGCAATTGGATTAAATAGAGACCATCTTGTTTGTTGGGCGACCTAAAAGAGAAGGTTTGGATCTTGGAAGTTTGGTATCCAAAAATTTTGCTTTTGACAGCTAAATGGCTTTGACCTTTTCCTCTACCGACTAACCCTATGGTATGAAGTTGTCCAGGGTTGGGTGTGAAATGTTAATCCTTTGTATGCATTTCCTAGACTTCTTCATCTAATTAATTGCAGGCAATGATCCTGTACTTCTATATTTTTATGAAATTCACACTAAAAGGAATTCTCTGAATTACGGTCCCTTTTGCCATTTTGAATTTAGTTTTTTATGCCTTAAAAATCCAGACCAGAAAGTTTGTTCTCTTGACACATCATGTTTATTTTCGTGCAAATCTCCCAATTCCAACAATGGCTCTTTTGTTTTTTATAAGTGAGTTTGGAAATCATTTGCTCCTGCAAAGTTTAAATCTTTAGTTTGAACTGATGTTCCAAAACAGATTACTACCAGAGATTTGATTCAAAATTGAAAACCTCTAACTGCCTTGTCCCCTGACTATTGTGTTTTGTGCAGCTTTAGTTTTGAAAAAAAAAAAAAGTCGTAGTTGATTTTGCACTGCTCAGTTGTTTATCTTCTTTTGGAATATTTTGTTTGGTGTTTTTGGTGAACATTGGGTTTTTCAAAGGCTCTACAAAAGTTCCCGTGTTAATTTTAGAGGTTTTGACACTGACAGTGATGTTTAAAGCTTTGACGTTCTCAATTTGTAGTTGTTTGGTGTACATGGTTAGAAAGAAATGCCAGATTTTTCTTTTGTCAAATGATGCCTCTAGAGTTTATTTGAGAAATAGTTCACTTAGTTTCTTCTCAGTGTCCTGTTAATGGTCTTTCTAGGGGGTATCTTTGGTAGATGCACATAGATATTATTATACTGTATTACATGTACCATTTTCTCAGCTTTTTTTTTTTGTTTTTTCTTTTCATTCTTTATTTAGTTGTTGAAATTTCTTGTCCTCATGCATTGGCTCTCTCCTTCATAAACTCTTTGTTTAACAAAAGAAAAAGGTCCCAAATATAAAACAAAATTTTCTGAAGTTTTGTTTTTTTGAAATATATTAAACGGGAATAAATAAACATATTCTAAGACTGGCACAAATGCATATGGTATTATTTCTGAGAAAAATATTTGTGTTAGCTCTGAATAAAAAAAATGGATTGTTCTTTTAGGATGATAGAGAAACAAGGTGTGGTATCCAGTATTCCAACTGCATGTTTGTTTTAGAGGATAACATGTCTAAAGTTTGTTTAGAAATTGTAAACCAACATTGGATAAATACATAGAACCAAATTAACCAATTGAAGTGAGGTTTATATTTTACTAGTTATGTCTTGTTGAACTTGATTATTGTATCACTCATAAGTGTTTTGGTAAAATATATGGGTTTTTCTGTAGTTTGATGCATTGGTTGTTGCTCTTCCAATATCTGAGTCAGGTGAAGAAGCACAGCTTAAGAGGATAATAGAACTACAAGTATGTAACTCACCTCACCGAGTGTTCTTTATATCTGATTGAATGGTGAACTTAATAATAAGTCATCTAATTGTGACAAACAGTGTTTATGTTCTTACTCTTACATTGTTTTGCATCTTGCCCTCTAGGCTGAAAATGATGCAATAGGCCAAGAACTTCAAAAGCAGTTGGAAGCTGCAGGTGGGTCCAATTCTTTGTCTCTGAAGTCTGAGCTCCTGTCTTTATTTCTCTTGATAACACATGAAAGTGTAAATTCCCGTTAGATAGCCAAATGAGTTTTAAATTAGATTCTTAGGAAAAGGTGTCCTGCGGCACATTTTTACAGAAGTAATTTGTTCATGCGATATTAAGCATTTTTAGGCTATACAGGTGTAGTAGTTGGTGAAGGATAACATGCATCTTTGTTTGCTTTGTATGTGGTTCTTATTCTCAAAAATCAAAATTTGTACTGAAAATCGAAGTTATACACTACTTGTGCTTTCGATTTTAGGATGCCTTGAGCAGTAATGTATCTACCCAACTAACTTTTTGTGTTTTCCTGATATTAGAGAAGGAATTGAACCAGGTTCATGAACTGTTTAGGCAAGCATCAGATAATAGTTTGAACTTGAAGAAACCAGATGACAATTAGTTGTTTGTGTTCCAGGCGAGGCCAGATTAGAGCGATCAATTTGGCAAGAAGTATCTCAACTTGACAGAAAGTAGGGACTGCTGCAGGAGGATTTTCCTTTTCACCATAAAATCGTGGTCACTGGAAATAGTTCGTATTCTTTTGAATGTTGTAACTTTTTCATGATGCGTGATGTTTTGCAGAAATTCATCAGAGTTGAGATACTGTAATTGTATTCATGCTCTTGTTGGAAATGAAAAAAAGAAAATGAAAAGGTTTTTGTTAAGTGTTTATATTTACCATCTATTGATGTCAGTCTCTGAAAAGTAGACATTCTAGTGACATCTTTTGAGTGAATACCATGAATTGCTCTACTTTTTAATTATATTATATTAATATTCATATTTATAACATAAAAATAATGTATTTATTAAGAGAGTAAAATTATATTATTGTTAGAATTAAGGAAAAGTTTTAAAATATAATTATTAGAAAAATAACAATTATTACCTTATTGAGAATTGAAAATAAAAAATAGTAGTCTATTCAATATTAATAATTTTTGGGAATGAGAGATTTTGATTATTGTTATAAATAAAAATTAAGTCTGAGTTATATAATTATAAATAAATTGTGATTTTAACTCAGAAAAAAGAAATAAAAATCAAAAGGGCTAATTATAGACTCAATTTTCTTATATTTTAACTATAATTTTATAGTCAATACACACTTGCTTGTTAGTTATACTTCATGTTTGGATTTTTCTTTGTCTTTCAGAAAGATTTAAAGATCCTTTTAGATTTCTCAAATTATATTATTTAATAAAAAACTATATAAATAGTGAGACATTTACGAAAGAAATATTTTCCCTCAACTTAAAGAGGGATTCAAGTGAAAGTGAAGTATTTCGTACTAAAATTTCTATCTTCTTAAGTTCATAAAACAATTTGAGATCTAGGTGAAATCATTTCTCGTACCGATTGAAGGGATTGTGAAGGAAATATTTTCTTGCTATATTAAAATTTCATATAACATTTAAAAGGACTTGGAAACGAGTAAATTTTATTGGTAAGTAATTAATTAATCAATATTGCAAGGGCTACAGAACGAATGATTCCCTCACCGCAATCACTTATTTGTGAGAATTAAAAAAAAAAAAAAAAACTATGCTACTAATAATTGTTTTTGGCTATTTCGTGATTTTCTTTCGGTGACACAACTCCTAATCATCTTGATTAGAAATAATAAGTAATTTAAATAAATCAATAAAACTATTTCAATGTTCACAAATGAATCAACATCTAACTTAAAAAAAAAACTGCATTATTTTGAGTTTCCTTTACTAGTTGGGATATATAAATACAAAATGCTTATTTTTCACATGTTAAAATTGTTAATTCGATAATACAATCTATAATACAAGAATAGGATAGCACCGCCACAATCATTATCACTGAAGATACTGCATGCCACGGTACATTAGAATGTAGATTAACTAAATCCTTAACTCAAAGTAACCTAATTTGTAAAACGTTTGTTAGGAAGTTTCATGAAGTTGTTTGGTCCAGTCAAAATGATTCCACTCTTTGGAAAAGCTTGCAACTGCTTGCTTTTGTACCTCGACGGCCTCGTAGCGTCGTCGCCTGTACATGTCCTCTTCTGCCAAATGTAGCATGCCTCTTATCACATTCAAGCCAAGGCTGCCATTAAACTGCTTTTCATCATCAATAACATGGACAAAACCCTTGTTTAAACCAAATTCAACGTGGAAATATGGAAAGTTCTTGGGAATTGAATTACGCAATCCCTTTTGACTTGTATCAATAAGTTTCTTTGCATTGTGCTGGCTCCACTCATCTTCAGCTTCATCAATAGCCTGTGACCCAATTAAAGAGTTTAAAATTTTTTAAATACACCAATATTTGAAAACTAAAAACAAATAGTTAATAGAGTGATAATGATAGAAAAAAGGAAGACAAATCAACAACATCAGACCACAAAATACAAGGGATCTTTTTCAAAAGCACTGGAATACCAATGCTCAATTGAAAACTCAAAAAATTGGGTGGGGTGACGATGGGCCGACAGCTCAAGTCCTGAAAAGGTCCAAACTCATGTTAATCAACCCCTACTGGGCTAAGGACTACTATGGGCTGGAATAAATATAGGTGCTGCTTATTAGACTCTGGTGTTTCCTTAAAGGGCCAGCTGTGAAGTCACTTGCGAGTGATGCCCTATCTATAATGTATGTATTTGAATGAATGGAAAGAACAAAAATATTTGCCTCTAAATTTCTTTACTCCCTTCAATGTTTCGTATACCCACCTATCCATATCTAGTATGCTTTTAATCATATCTGGCACTCATCAAAAGACCATATGTAGTAAGGGTGTGCAGAAAAAATCATAAACTGCAAGGAGATGCATCCAAAAATAAAACCATTTAAACTAGGTTAGAAAGTAATCCGATTTTATCATTGGTATGCAGTAATACTTTATTCTTTTATCACTTCATGGTAGCACAGCTATTGAAACCACTCCGCTATTTGAATCCCATAGCAGCCTGGACCGCTCTGTTACCCCACTATAGTGAGTTACTATTAGGAATCAAACGTAGACTGCTACAATAATTCAGATCAATAGCACAAGAAACCAAGAAAGAAACTCTAGAAGGTTAATTTCAGCTGGCTTTGAGAACACAACACCATTATGCATAAATGAAAAGCATCCATTTTGAATAGATTAAGTTAGTAATACACAAGAAAATAATGTTTGTCATCTCACCTTTTTAAAGTACAGAGGAGCATCTTTGGCAATATCTTGGGGTAAAGGAATGCACTCAACCATACAATGCCGTCGTTGCTGTGCCAATCCCATCACAGTCTCAAGAAACACTACCTCCTTCTCTTGCTTAACAAACATCATAATTAGGCACTTCTTGAAGTTTCGAATTTCTGTCCACACATTATCGTCCACAGATCTTGTAGCTGATTCATGCTGTCAGATAAAAGGAACATATAGAGACACAAATGTAAAATTCCATGAAAATAAAAAATAACTAAGTTGCCTATTGCACAAGACCAGCTGGCTCAAAAATATGTCGTGCACTTTCAATTCAAGTCAAATTAATACAGCTAATGTTACTCCAAATGCATGCAATAATACTAATCTACCAAATTACTATTCCAAGTTCAAGAAAACAGTATCAAATACACTGAAATTTTTTTTAGTATTATCTAAGAATGGTACAAGTCATAATGGATAATCTTCAGCTGTCAAAACCTACTCATATTGCAGGGATTGCTAAATAAGCAACAAGCCTGTACTGGTTTCAACTCCGGAAATACCAGACAGTAGCAGAAAGTAAAGTCACCTGAATTGGTAAAATGCAGCAATGACCAGGAACCAATGGTTGCCACTGTGGCAACATAAGATATGTGAAGTTTGCTATTGAAACAACAAGATGCATAGGTCGATTTGGATTTTCTAAACAAAAGAGGCAGCGTTCTTGCTGGGTCAAGAACCGATTAGTATTTTGCCGGATCTTCTGATCATCTCCTCCTTGCTTCTTTCTACTCTTTCTGCTTGGACCACCCTCAAAATCATATTCATCATCAGCCTGAGTGGAAACCTTAAACTGCTTGTTCTGCATGATTGTGCGAGCAAGATGCCTATCGCCGTCATCCTCTCCTTTCTTCTGTTCCGCAGATATCTTTTGCATAGCATACCTTAAAAGAATAAAATATCATCATTAAAATCATTAGAAATAATGAAATATTATAAGGATAAATAAAGCTGCAGAGACCAATAATGATAGTGAAACAAATCAACCATGCTTACAAACATTAAAAAAATAAAGAAATGCAAACTATAAATAAAAATAAGAGTAGCCCACTTTTTCTGCAGCATAAGAAATGTCACCTTGGGTACAATGTTTGCACATTAGAAATGAATCAACCGTGAGTGGGATAAAGAAGGATAATACAAACAAATACACATTATTCAAAGAAAGCCAAATACCTGCTAGAACTACCATCAGTTCTTGATCTAGTTGAATGATCATGATTTTCCGGTTTTGTGTTCATAACTTTTACTTCTTGCTGTCCACCAAAAGAAGAACAAAACCCAGACAATGAAATCAAAATACTCAGGAAACTAGAACGATATGTTTTTGCAAAACAAAAGATAAAATACAATATGTTGAATATTATCTATTTCCTTATTATACCAAAGTAAATACTATTTGTTTACTTGTATGTATGACAGCTGTGTAATTAGTAATTACTATGAAGGATTTTCAGGCTGTAATTACAAGATTTAATCCCTATAATCAAAGGATTTTGAGTGTACAATGATATTTGCAACCTAATAACACTGAGTCAACCTCTCAAGAATTTCCGAATCAATATCATTAGAATCCAGTATTATTATCAAGCCAATTGACCAGGTTAATGTCACCTCCTCCCAAAGCAAAAGGCAAAGAAAGATAATACATTATGTACTCTTAAAAAACTAGAAGTTTTTCAACTCTTCACCAGTTTCCTACCATCTCACAGATTCTATTTCCAAGAATAATCCATAGAAAGCATGAAGGAGAAGAAGTCCAGGAAGAGCAAAATGTCTAATTTCAGGGCAAGTGAAAAGCAAGACTGACAGAAAAATTTTAATAACCAGTGGCAAATTCTGATGGAAAGCAAACTTGATAATGTAGCAGAGACCATGAAGGCATCATATTTTGAGATATACTTTTCAAGGCACCAGAAACAGAAAATAATTGTCCTAATTCACGAGTAAGAACCATAATAATAAACAATGAAACCATTATCTGAAAAATCAGTTTGTTCTGGCTGTTTTCTACTTCATCTAATCTGGTAAGAAGGAATAAACTAATTGCACTACTGCATCTGAACAGGCCCCCATTAAATGGTTGAGGGTGGAAAAAAAATCATGTGCTTGTTAAAACTGAAAAAAATGATAAGAGCCAAACAAACTCTAGAAAAGATATTCTCTTATTGTGTGCCT